TAGTCAGCCCAAGCCACTGACTTTTTGATATTTTTAATGATTATTTCATAAATATGCCATTATGATTACAAGCCAAAAAAGCATGAACAGGAACTTTGTCTCGCTACAAAGTGAAAAGGAGGAATTGAGCCCTTCTGACAACATTAGATAATTAGCCATTTATTCATGATCACCTCAAAAACTGGCCTGATGGAGGGGACTAATTAGGCTGAAAATTAAGGAGCCAAAAGGGAAAAAAACAGATTGGGGCAAGAGCTTTGTTGAAGGGGACTTAATTCACATGTAGCAAAAATATGCCTGTGTGGACAGATTGTTGTGGGGATTATGTCACTATATCAAGTGGTGTGTGGAACCCCCATTTCAATTCCCATTGCAATAGAATGTGAAAAGGGATCCTTCAGCCATGGAAAAAGCTTATAGCCTGGAAGCCACTCGAGTCTGTAAATTTGACCTGTATTTCCAAACTGAACCTAGAAGAAGACAGTGGGTCTCCCCAGTCTTCTTGCAATGGAACATGAAAAACTAGGGCCACAGCAGTGACTTGGAGCAAGGCAGCCTCTTCCATCCTCCCCTTCCTCCTAGCTGCCTCTAGTGGAAACCTGGCTGTGATTCTTAAATCTCTTTCATTTCCTCTCCATTTTCTTACTCCCTCCCAGATGGTCCAAGGCTCAGCAGCAACCAGTCCAGGAGCTCATGTTGGCAAGAAGAACACAGTCTCCACTGCAACTGCTCTCTGAACTCCTGGCCTCTGCTCCAGATCCAGTGGGAAGTAGACGGGCAGACCCTCAGTGAGGACAGCAAAAGCGGGGGCCCACAGGTCACTTCCAGTGCCCAAAAGAATGCAGTTACCAGCTCTCTGAGCTGGCCAACAGGGAAACTAGATAAGAGCCATAACATCATTTGCCGTGGGGCAAATCATTTGGGGACCTACACAATGCACTTTCTATTCAGTCCCCCTACAAAAGTCGAGTGTGAGTGGCTTTGTGTGGGCCTTGTTGTTTCTCTTTTATATTTTTTTGGGGGGGGGGCATCCCTGAGGCCTGTTTAATTTTGGTGGGAAGAACCAACACTTAATGCTGTGCCACTGACCTCTAATTGGTGGCATGTTTGATTGTATATATTACAGAACTAACCTGTAATATTAGAGGACTAAATAACACAGAAAGGACAAAGATATGATTATGAACGGAATGTTTGGTAGTTTACTGGTTGTCAGTCACTTGTGAGGTAAATAACTGAGGCCGATTACACCTCCCTCAGTTGTGCTCTGGGAACATTCTTGCCCTCTCTTCTCTCATGGTATTATTGGCTTGTATATACCAAGGAAGAGTCCAGGGCTAAACAAAAACTGAACTTGATTTCCCTGTGGGGGAAAAGAAAGCGTTTGGTGTTTGGGAATAAACTGTATACAATTGGAGTTGTAGGGAAGACTGAATTTGGGGAAACAGGATACGTTGTCACTGAGATAAGCTCCAGAATAAGTTATCACTGAGATAAGCTCCAGAATAAGTTGTCACTGAGAGAGTGAAACAGTCAACCAGAAACTGCCAGTCTACTGCGTGAAGGTAAAACAGACTAATTTCTTAGAGGTTTGCCAACCCAATTCAAGATTTCTGGAACTTTTACCACACAGACCTCAATCTGCACTTAGATTCCCTCTACCCGAGAATACTAAATCTGAGCATTTACAAATCTGTGTGCCCAGCCCTTCCCCCAGCAACCATACTAGACCCAGCCTGCTCCTTCCTAAAAATGGACTGTGAGATAGGGCTACTTTCAACCTGCTGGTCAGAACACCTAGACCCTGTCTGAGAAGAATGTCAGCTAATCTCTCACTTTCTTCTGCCATATCCCCCACCCTTCTCCCCCTGGGGGTTCTGACTGCCCTTATTTTGGCTTCTCTGCTGCACCAACAGGGTAAAAAGGGAATTGACTGATAAGGAATCAGTCATCACAGTGAGAGTCCACCAGAAAATGTGCAAATATGGCAATACTGTAAAATCCCAAGGCAGTAGAGATGAACGCTCCAATCTAAAACCTGTTTACTTGGAATTAAGTTCACGCTACCTGATCCTTTCAAGTGGAGACCGAACCTGGGAACCTTTTGCATGTGAAGTGGATATTCTACTGCTGATCCCCATGATCAGTTATTGGGGTGGCCCCTACCCCTGTCCTACCACTCCACTGAGCAAAATTCATTCATTCATTCGTTTATTCAAATATTTATACTCTGCCTCTCTTTTTGGCTCAAGTTAGAAGTCTCCCTCCAGACTAAGAAGTCTTCTTTCAATTTAAGTGGCTCTTCCATTGGAGAAAGGGCCACTTCAGTTGGAGGAAGAACCACTTAGAGAATGGTAGATCCAGGGGTTTTTTTCCTGGGGGAACATGCCGGAACAAAGTTCCAGAACATCTTCGACAAAATTCTTTTAAAAATGCTTAGAAGTTCATGGGTTTTCAGTATACAGATTGAAAACTTCATTTACCTCTTGAGAGTTCCTTCCAGCACCTCTTCACCCCTCCCCACAAAAAAGCCATGGTTAGATCCAACCCAATGTGAGGATAAAATGGAGGAAAGGGAGAATCTTAAACACAGTCCTGGACTCCTTGGAGGAGGGGGTGGAATAAAAACTTGATCAATTAGTAAATGATCCCCCCCATTTTTATAGTTGTGTTTATGCTTACTCCTTGGGGGCTGTGGTACTAAGAGTGTCAATATTCTAAATCAATAATGTAATTGTTGACAAATGCCTTTGGGAAGCCTGTCTATTGCCCTAAAGGTGGTTTTGAGAGAAGAGATGCCTTAGCCAACTGGTAGGAGCATGGGTGCCAGCGTTACCAAACTACCAGTTTTCCAAAGTGGGTCCAGGGTCACAAAAAACTTATGCTACTATCAATTGGGTAGCTTTTCAGGTACCACAAGACTCTTCTTCAATTTGACCCTGAGATCATGGTTTCTTATTGCAGGGAACCGTGGAAGTTCAGTCATTTCTGGGTTCTGTGGCGCTTTAGTGGCTATCATCCTTTGTGTGCTTTGCCTCGGCCTGATCAAGTGAGTTGCTCTGTTTATGATTCCCATCTGGCATATGCCTTATCTGTCTTACACCTGACGATTTCCATCCGGGTAGCCAACAGTCCTTTCTTTATGTTGGAATAGAATGTTGTGAAGCTTCAAAGTACCACAAGGCTACCATTTGTTAATTCTCATTCATCTGCTCTTAGGTTTTATAAGCAGAGGAAAGTGAAAGCGTCTTCCAAAGCTGGTGGTGCGGAAGTTCTGAATTCTGCCAATGGGGGGCACCAGAGACCCAGTGACGGCAGCGTGATCTATAGCAACGTTTCACCTTTGGTAGGCATTGCTTCCTTGGATCCCATTGGACCATAGAGTGAACACAAATAGTTCTTTGGACACTCAAACATGTAGGCAAGATCACATCTTGATTTTGAGATTACTTAAACAAATGCTAGCCAGATCCAACCCCGATTAGCTTCTGAGTTCTGATGAAATTGGGCTAGCCTGGGCCATCCAGGTCTGGTTCATAAATACATGCTGAAAATCAGCATCCTCTTTCCATTCTTGCAAGACACTGATTGTGAGGTTTGTTTTTTTAAGATAATTATTCAGTCACTTACTTAAATTTTTTCATTTTCATAAACAAATTGAAAACCTGCCTTTGGGCATGTTGGAAGGCCAAGGAATAAATTTAATACCTTTCTCCATCTCATAATGGATCAGAAGTTTCCCACATGCCAAGCTTACCTTCATTCACTTTGCAAGGATGCTCATACAAGAAGCTCTCTGCTAAATTGGCCATCTCAAGTCTTACAAAGGCCATTTCCATGCATATTATTGTTCTGGGTTCGATGCTGTTGGGAAATACTTACTCCCCTAAATTGTCCTATGAAATTGTGGTGAATTCCTACACCTCTTGGGATTTCTCCAGCTTTTCTGCAATGTTTCTCAAACCTGCTTTGTTGAAAAGTTTATTAAAGGTTGCAGTAAAGTATGAAAAAAAATACAGATGTGTGCTAGATGCCCACAGAACAATACAATAACAAAAGAGACTAAATTAAAGCCATAACATCATTTAGTGTCTGGTAAAGAAAAACAACCACTTATTCCTTCATAGAAAAAACACAAAGGTCAATAAAATTCCACATAGCGGTCCGCTCCAGACTCTCTCAGTCTATATCCTCCAAATTCAATCTCTCTTTCAACACTTATTCTGGATATTTAAGTGTTTTAGACCTCTGGTTTTTCCTCAGGAACAAATCCTATATAGGAATCTCAGATTCAATGTTACCTTCAAATTGACACATTCAATGTTACCTTCAAATTGACACCCTCTCTGACATACAGAGCCACCCCACCTCCAACCCTTC